TTAGCCAGCAATAGTATAACACTGCATTCCAGATTTAATTCAAATAGTTTTTCAATAAAAATAAGAAATGTTGGCTGGGTAGTGGTGGCACATGCCTCTAATCCCAGAATTGGGGAAGCAGAGTCAGACAGAGTTCTATGAGTTCGAGGCCAGTCTGGTCTACAATGTGAGTTCCAGGACAGCTAGGGCTGATACACAGAGAAACCTTGTTTCATCAAAAAACCAATAAAGAAAAGAAAAAAAAAAGAAAGAAAAAAGTGTTAAGAAACTATTTTAGAAATTCCCAGCTGTTGTAGTTTTATATCTGTTCAGTTTTAAAATGTCCTTAAGTACGGCAGAGATCCATAGGTTCTCTGAGTATGACTAAAGTGTTGAAGGAAGCTTTGCTGTTAACTTCACTAATCTTGCTTTACCAGAGGACCGTAGCAATAAAGACATACGGAAATGTCTCGTTTTGTGGCAGTCTGTAAGGAAATACAATTATCAATGTTCATCTTGGAGAAATGTAGAAATGATTGACCGTATTTGGGGTGAACAGTTTCTTCTTTCCCTAATAGTAAAATCCTTCTGTCCCACTAAGCATCCCCAGACAGAAAGCCCTTCAGAAAACATACTGCCTCTCCAGTCTAGTTTCGGAGAGCTACTTCATGAAAAAAGCCTTCCTTCACTCCCAGCCCAAACACTCTACTACTTTCTTCAAATCATTCTTTTATTCTTTCCTTAGTACCATGATGTAGGAGTCCCCTCTTTTGTGTGAATACCACTGGTTAATAAAGGAACTGTCTTGCGCCTTTATAGGGAATAGGGGAAAGGGGGAAACTAAACTGAATGCTGGGAGAAAGGAGGAGTTAGAGAGAAGCCATGTAGCCCCTGTTGGAGATCTTTACTGGGTAAGCCATAGCCACTTGATGATACACAGATTGATAGAGATGGGTTAGTTTAGGAAATGAGTTACCCAGAAATACGCTCAAGCTATTAGCCAAATAGTATTGCAAATAATATGGTTTCTGTGTGATTATTTCAGGCCTGAGCAGTGGGGAAACAAACAAGCGACCTCCTTATAACAGTACCAAGTGAAATTAGTTGGGTAGCATCAGCTGAATAGTTTGGTAAGGCAGTTAAAATTTGAAATAGGCTATGCCTTAAATGAGTTTTATGAGACCATTTTAGAATTATGCTTACCCGTTGCTTATGCTTCTTTTATAAAGAAAGATGTTTCAGTTGTAAGTCTCAAGGTCTCATTAACTTGTCAATACTCGGTGGTGAAAATGACATTATGATAATTAGGATAACTGTCTTACTTCCAGTACATCTGTAACAGGCCAGTAGTGTTGAATATGACCCTCATTCTTCAGAAATTCACAGTCCCTGGGCCAGGTATGAGGATTCACCCCTTTCCTGCCAGCACAAGGAAGGCAAGGACGATAGATGCGCACTCTCTGAGTCTGAGAATAGTCTGTTCTACATACTAAGTTTCCAGCCGGCACAGAATGACTAGTGAGACAATGTCTCCTAAAAAAAAAAAAAAAAAAAAAAAAAAAGTAAAAAGAAAGAAAGAAAGGAAATCTATAATTCTCTAATACAATAGATACTAGAAACACAATGCTGTAGGGTAACTCTGTAAGATGGGGCAGCAAGAAAAAGCCAAGAAAGACAAACAAGATGTAGTCTGAAACGAGTGTGGAATAAGACTGCCAAAAGGTCACAGTAAAATCTTTTAAAGCAATATGAGGAGTAAAAAGTGTGTCATGCTTGAAGAATTGAAAAGTGAAAAAGACTAAGGTATAGAAACAGCTGGAAGGGATGGCGTACCAGAGGCACAAGAGTCAAACAGTTGAGTTGAAGAGAAGGTCAAGGCCTGGGTTACAGAACAATTTTCTGCAGAACTCAAACCTAAGGACTTTGTCCAGCAAGAGGAGCAAGGAGAAAATTAACAAGGCCAGCAAACTGTGTGGATGCAAAGGGCAGACTTGAAGGAGAAAGGATCGCAGGCAAGAAAACCAACCTCAAAACCTAGTCCCGACCTCTTTGGCATCAGCCTCAGGAGACAGGGACACAGGGGACAGGGATGGAACAGGTCAGAAATTTGAGATTCTTCTGAGAGGCAGAATGAACAACTCAGTAAGTGTAGGGTTTTGCAAAGAGCTGAAGGGACAGTGTAAATCAGAGATTTCCAGCTGGGTCAGCAAGGTCTTCATTCAGGACAGCAGAACCTAAGAGACGGAATTTGCTTCAACCAGGCACATTGGTGCATGCCTATAATCCCAGCATTTGGGAGGTGGAGGAAAAATGAGAAATTTGAGATCATTTGTGATCATCTATGATAGTGAGTTTAAGGCCTGCTTGGAAATTTATAAGACCCACCACAAAAATATAAAGAAAAATGAAACAACTGTCTGATCTTTCTGATGTGAATTCTCGATAGAGTTTCAGGCTGAAACTCTAAACGCTTTTACTCCACCACACAGTGGAGGGTGCAGGGAGATTCCAGAGATATCCTCTAGACGATCCTTGTGGGATGGGGACGTTAGGGAAGAAGATGGAGGAGACAGCAGAGAAAAGACCAACGATAGAAATAACGACATGGTGGGTGTGGTTGCTCAGAGCCCTGCTGGTCAGAAAATAACCATCACTCACGTGAGCCTCCAATGATAGAAATCAAATTTAACTGAAAGCAAAACTTCATTTCTGTGGTCCCGCTAACCACATATCATCGGCTTAATAGATGAAAAGCGGGTGGAGTCAGAAGGGGAACCAGAGTGGGGGAAACAGAGAAGTAGGGTCACACTGCTGTGACTCAGAGTTTGGGGGGTGAAACACTGGAGCAGAAAAGTTGATAAAGATAGCGTATAAGAAGAGAAGTGAAAATCACCATGGAGTGTTGTTTGCTACCCTGACAGCCAGAGCAATAGTACTGGAGCTCTCGCCAACTTAGTTGGATGTGAAGTGACTCAACAAGGCTTCATTCATTCTCTAAGAGGACAGACTGAGCTTGCAGTGCAAAAGAAAAGTACCTTCACAGGAAAGGAAAGAGTGGATGTGACTGTTCCCTTCCCATGCTTTGATCAGTAAGTGTGGGCCTTGCATAGCTCTGGCCCTGAGTCACCGTCCTTCTGAGAGTTCTGAAGGTCTCTAGTTGAAATCTCAAGACTAAGTTTCAGAGATACGTGGAATACTTGTATCTGCATCCCAAACAGCACATCACGCTCACTTCTTTGATCAAAATGAAGGAGACCGAACAATGTTTGCAGGGCTGGGGAGACGGAGGCTGTTGCTTTGTGAGTATAGGGTTTCGGGCCTAATTGAAAACTCTGAATGCCTTGATGATGGTCTGGCAATCAGAACGTACTTAATGCCATAGAAAACTATATGTAAGATAATTTAAAATGATAGAATTTGTTGTAGGTACATTTTACTACAAGGCTTTTAAACATCAAGCTATACTATGAAGAATTTGAATTATTTCTTCCTATAAGCGAAATTTGTCATCTGGTGGATGAAACTTCGCTGAGTCATTTCACATCCGAAGAAACTGGTGCAAATTCTGCCAGCCTTCAGGGCCGAACCCCCACCTGGAGGGCACATTTTTACACCTTTTCTTCTTTTGACCTCTTAGGTGGCTTTTGATTCTCGAGAAAGTTCTAGCTACCCTCTATGCCTGGGAAGTTTAGGATAACAGACACTGAAAGCAGACACCTGCAGCAAACATCTGTTACTTAAGGTAACACAGGTGTGTGGGAGACCAAGGTCGACAGCCTGGGTTTCACGAGGTGTACGCTGGTAAGAAGCTCTTGTCCCTGTCCACGTCCACTTATCTGATACGATCAACAGTCTGAATGCACAAAACAGGTTAGTGCTTCAAACAGCACTTAGAGGAAAGAGAAAGCACCGACCTGTTTCAGACTGCAGCGTTGTCTTCTCTGCCCAGAGCCGCTTTCACTTTCTACAAATGTAGTTGACTGTGGCCTGCCACAGGCCAGGTATTCAAGGAAAGTTCAAGAAAGAATTAACTTATACAGCCTTAATGATAGAGCTTTGTTAGGATTGTTCTAGCTTATTATTACCACCGTTGATTTCTTGCTGTGACTAATATATAAACTGAGCTTTCTCGTGTATGTATACATATATGTATAATGAGAAAACAGCCTCTAGAATACAAGATCCAAGGCTCTTCAAGGAGACATGAATCCACCAGCTAGACTGAAACATGTCCCTGGGGGATGAGGAGTAACTATGCTTCTTCTTCGGATTTACTTCACGGGTCAGTAGCTTCGGTTAATGCTAGAATTGCAGAGTATAAATATCAGCAGTAAACCCTGGGGCAAGTATGTTTGTGCAGGCAAAATGCTCACTCTGCAATTAAGGGAGGGCAGGCATCCATGAATCACTCTTCCTGCCTTTTGAAGGGCCTTGGAGCAAGGCTCCCGGGTAGGAACACAAAAGCAAAGCAATGCTGCAAGAAGCCAGTGGCTACTTCCATTGGTGCTACTGTAACCTGGAAGCTGAAAACGTCGGGCTAAGAATTAAATCAAAGCGGGATAAAGTGTACGAACATAGAGTAATACAGTTAACCAACGCATGTCCGAGCCAAGATCTTTTTACAACTTTTGGAATAACTAATTTCACGTGGGTTTTCACTCTGCCTCCCGTCAGCCTTCAGACATTTCCTTGTGTAGGCATTGGCAAAACTGAAGTAAACACTTGCACATTCGCACAACACACCCTGTTTCCTCTCCAAGGAAATGTACTGAGCATGGAGAACGGGGCCAGCATTTCAACACTTCAGCTTTCCTTGCCCATCCCTGGAAGCTTTGTCCAGCTCATGCACAGATTCTGCTGATGTCATGACCTGACAAATAAAAACACCTCACGACTAGAAGCCACACACAGCACTGGCACAATGTGAAGACAGGCTCTAGAAGTCGAAACCAACTAAGGAGAAGGAATGAAAGAGAGGACAGACATAGGGAAACGTGAGAGATGGGACAAGCTGTACTTACCACTTTCAGCCTGATAGTCTGGCACAGACTGCTCGTCATTGTCAGGTACCTGAGCTGAAGAAGAAAAGAGAAAGATTTTGAAAATTAAGAGAGGAACAGCCAAGGCATAAGGAACATCAAGTCAGACGTGACAAGCAAGGCCTATTTTGAGGGAGCTCAGTCCTGTGATTATTTGCCAATAACCTCCTGTAAAACAGTCTTGACAGCCTAGGAAAGGAAACGAAGAGGTCCATTGATGGAACTGGAAAACATGAGTGTGGCAGAAATAGCGCAGTAGCAGGTGGGATCCCTCTGAATTTCACCTGCCAGATGGAGATGGCGAATAAAAGGTACAGGGTTCCTACATCCTGCAAGGATGCATCTTGCAGAAGTTGCCCATTCACCCACTGCTGGTGCTTAAGACCTCAGGGTGAACTACAAGGATTTTTTTTTTAAGCGATGTGTAGCTATCACACAAATCCCCTACATTTTTTTGAGATGACTTCTTCGGGTAAATGCTGTCTCCTGCAAACAGGACTACCATAATTGAAAACATTTGTCCTAAGTTTATTCAAAGCAAGCCATCGAGCTTTAAAAATGAAAGAAACATCATTGACTTGTGCTACATGCAACAAAGCAATCTATCTTAACAATAATTGTATTCATAATAAAAACGAACAATAAAGCAAATGTCATCTTCTCATGCAAAATATTTTCCTGGCCATGCTAGTCAGCACTGAGGAAAGAGTTTCACAATTTGTCAGACCCTAGGGTCGACTGACTTTCCGCTTTGTTAAAGGAGAAGGACTAACTGGGAGGCTGTAAAGCATTCGGCTCCAGTTGAAGCCAAGTCCATCCTTTCACCTTGAAATGTTTATTACCTTTGATGTGGACATCGAAATAACCCTACTCAGTCTCGCTGGATATTACTCAGTTTTCAAACGCAAACAGATATGCATACCTTTTGTATAAACAAATGACGCAAAACAGAAATCAGGCTACTTGTAACTTGGTGAGCATATAATAAACTGTCGTCATCCTTATTAACTTTCATTGTGATCTCATTAGCTAGAATTACCTTACTAATATTGTATAATACTGTAAAATTTTATCCGATCAAGTCTCATTAAAGCAGATGTCAATCAGATTTCTTTTGAATGAACTTATTCTGTGTGGGGAATGTTAATTGAAATAATCAGCCTGAGCCAGGCATGTGATTCCTGCATTTGGAAGGCTGGGCTAGCATGAGGCACACAGGGAGCTCCAGGCTAGTTGAGGCTGCAAGCTGGAACTCTGTCTCAAAAATCAAATATCAACGACAACAACACCAACAATACCAATCACTCTCCATTGAAATGGTTCGTACTGATGAGAGAGTTAAGAAAAAAAAATCCATACCAAAAAAAAAAAAAAGGAAGAATTTCATGATCTAATTCCATGTAAAAACAGAAGACAGCCTCAGTGGGCTTTTCTTTTCTGTGTTCATCTTTTCAAATGGAAACATTTTCGTGAGTAAAGCATACGTTACCTTAGTCAAGAATATAACTATCCCAGGACAGTCTTGCCTGGGATTAAAATGTATATATCACAGAGTTTTTCTCTAATGATTTTCCCTCATCCCAATACTTTATGGAGGACAGATCATTCCCTACTGCCAAAGAGAGGAGATTAACCAGCAGTAATTCCAAGTCATAACTGGTACCAACTTGATCAGCTTGTAGGAGGAGCAAGTCTGTTTTCTTATTCCACCAGTGTTTGATGCTGCGCTTAACAATTTTCAAGGCCGACAAATTTCACCTCACAAACTCATAACTTGCCACCTATAGGTAAGCTATTTAATTTCCTTAAATGTCAACGACCGCCCCCTCCATTGAAACTTAATGAAATAATAAGGGAATTCTTAAAACCAATAAATCAAGTAGTCTAAGCCCAATCCCAGATAGCTGGATATATTCTCCTTTACAACTGTCTATCACCTGCTTCCTAAAAGTCACACACAAATGCACTTAGGAGCATTATTGTGGCCAGCTTAGTGTTTTTATAGTTTTACATCTAACATACATGACCGGACAAGATGGGTGGTGGTGTGCACACCTTTGGTTCCAGCACTTGAGAGGCAGAGGCAGGCAGATCTCTGTGAATTTGAGATCAGCCTCGTCTACAGAGTGAGTTCCAAGACAGCCAGAGCTACACAGAAAAACCCTGTCTCAAAAAAAAAAAAAAAAAAAAAGGACTGGAGACCAGAAAAATGAGGATGAGTCTGCATTCTCTTAGCTTTTGACAACGTATTTTTACTATTGACAACATAGTTTTTTATTTTCTGCTCAGACTGATGAATCACACATAAAGAAATGTACTTTATAACGTGTTTTTACATTTAGAATAATTAAAAATGCTCTAATACATATTTAACGTAACAAATAAATAATTAAATCCTGGACTTAAAAACCACATCCATATTTTACTTTTACCTCTAAACAGATACAGGCCAGGTATGGCCTTTACTCCTAGCACCTGAGAGACAAGGCAGGTTGATTTCTGAGCTTTAGGGCACATTGGTCTACAGAGTGAGTTCCAGGACATCCTGGACTACACAGCATAACCAAAAACAAAAAAGCTAAACAGATAAAACAATTGAGATATAAAATATGCTATTAAAAAGGCTGCACTTGGGACTGGAGAGATGGCTTAGTGGTTAAGACCACTTTCTGCTCTTTCAAAGGATCTGGGTTCAATCCCCAGCACATAGTACCCAAAAATGGTGGCTCAAACTCTCTGCAGTTCCAGTTCCATGGGAACTAGGTGCACACATGGCGCACACACAATACTTGACGTCAAAGTATTCATACCCATGAAATAATCTTTCATTTAAAGTCAACCTTCATTCCAGTGTTGTGGCACAAAGGAGACATATAAAATAAAATAAAATATTATTTGCAATAATCTAATGAAGATGTAATGCGTGTTTATAGGAATGGCTGAAAACAGGTAGTGAGTTATTTGCGACTTAATACGCTTGCACGGATATGCTCAACCAGACCTTTCCCTTAGTTTCATAAGACAGACCTGCAGCTTCATAGAACACATGATGCAAGGAACAGCATCCAAGGCCCCACTGGGAGTGTGGCATGTACTGGGTGTTGGCCTGTGTGTGGAGCTGGGGCCGAAGAATCTAGAAGGTAGACCTCACAAGTACAGAGAAAACAGCTCCAAACTAACAATTTGTAAAAAGAGTATGGATGAAGGATGCTATTTCTGTTCTAACTCCTTAACATACTGAATAAGTACTTCACACTTATGCTTGAACATATTACAGAATTTTAACAAAAAACATATGACTCACATTTTTGCAGAAGCTAATCTTAAGAAGCTGAATAGGCTGAACGAGGCAGCACGCTATTTAAATAGACAAAGGCTTAAGCCTACCCCTAACTTCAAGTTGGAGTAAAAGGAAAGCATTTAACCAAAAACACAACTTGGATTTGGGAAAGAAACTACGACACAGTCTCATCACACTTGTATCATGCGTTTTCTTCCTTAATTCACAAAATTTCTATGAAGGAGCAGACTACAGCTGCCGGAAACATTGCTGCAAGCTGTACCAATCCTCCCCCAAATTTGAAAATTAACAATATAAGTCAACCTAATTTTTTAAATGTTTTTTATTACATTCCTGTCTACTCTAAAATATGCTTGAAGTGATCATCTTTGGGGAATAAAATTGTGTCTCTACACAATGTAATGAAAGGGGAAGGAGAAAAGGAATGGAGAAGGAGAGAAAATATATACCACAGACCAGGAAAAGGCTGGCATGAACACTGAGTGTGTAGATTTGACTGGTAATAGCGGAATCAGTTCATTGCACATTAATAGACCAGTTGCAACTGAGTCTCCGAATCTTTGCTTTAAAGGGTTAGCAGCCACTCTCTCCGCTTCTGGCGTTATCTAGTGTCCCATCCAAGGCTGCTTTAATACCCTTCCCTGATAGGACGTAGCAGCACTGTAGGAAAGAAATTCATAAAAGTATTCATCGCAACCAAAATGTCACAGAATCAATGCCCGTGTTTAAACTTTAGTATCGGTTCCTAAACATAAGTGCCTTGGGGAAGGGTAGTTTTAAATACAGCTTGCTTTGGCTTTTAGCTGGTTTCCAGCTTTTAAATAAAGCAATATTCATTACTTAAGAAGTGATGAACATTTAAAATATTTTTCAAATTTAGCTGCAGGCAAGAAAAAACCCTCTTATTCTTACAAACAGTTGTCTGATGAGTTTTTTTTTTTTTTTAAGCAAAGGGGGGCGGAGGGAGTGGGAAAATTACAAATGAAACAAATGTCAAGTATTAAAGGGGTTAATATTTAATTAAAACCAGTTCTATCCACTGTAACAATGACCTGGAGCCAAACAAGGCGGAAGATGTATGACTCACTCTTTCTACCCGTGAATGAGACAGCTGATCTCCTCAGCTTTTCCTCAAGACAAGCAGGCAGAACTGGATTTCTGCCTCCATTCACAAAAACACAGTCCAGCACGAGCCATGTGGCCCAACCGCAATCTCTTGGTGTCACACCCTTCCAGAGAACTAAAGCAAGTAAGCCGAACTTGCAGGGTAAACGCGCCACTTTTATTGCTCTGTCTCAAACAGACCCATTAAGAAACACATGAGAATAAATGACATATAGAGAGGGGAGGTGGGAGCAGGAGAAGGAGAAAGCAAAGCAAGATGTACAAACGCATATTTAATCCATCATATTTTACAGAGAACCTTGGCCCAAAACCACGGATGTACAGAATTTAGGAAAGAAAGTGGAAAATAAGGAAAGGTGACGAAAGAAGGAAGAAAGAAAAAGGAGGAGAGGAGAGGAGAAGAGGGGAGGGATGGGGAGAAGGAAGGGCCACAAAATGGGGTAGCATCTACCTAAAGTGACAGAGCACTGGCTGAGCTTGTGAGAATCCCTAAGTTTGAATCCCAGCAGCAAAATAATACTAGTAATAAAATAAACAGATGGCCTTTTTTGCTTGTCTATCACTCAAGTTTTGAGTCATAAAAAAATGTAACATATTATTGCTGAGGTTTGTAGCACAGGGATCATTCTTTACCTGAAGAAATCTAAATTTTATTTCAAGTAAAACAGGAAACTCAACATTTTCACTGTGGTACTCCTTCTAATCCTAAAATGAGACTTCAGTCCATGGAACAAAATAACCATGAGCTCACTAAGCCGAGTTTTATACCGCATCCGGTTTTAACATTAAAATGATTGCAAAGTAAAAGCATTAATTAGTGTAGAAATATAAACATATTTAAGTAGAAAGGGGAGGGGACTTCCCTAGACAGAAGGCCTTTAATGCTGGACACACTCTTTGTGTATGCAGGAAAAGCAGAAAACAGGAAGGTCTCAAGTCAGCTTCGGTTTCTAACTAAACTGACCTGCACTGACTTGAAAACTTAAAAGGGAAGCCCAGAGCCAGGCAGCAGTCCTCTGCAGCCAGATTTTTCTCCCTCTGCTTCTAGAGAGGCCTGGCTCTATCATCATTCTTATTGTTTTTAATTACACAGTTGTGCACAAATCAAAGACATAAAGTTGTACTGCAACATGCAAGAGATTACGCATTCTCTGTAACTCGACTGCAAAAGTTCAGCAACATTTTACTTGTCGGCAGGCTGAGAAAACTACTCTCTGCTCCACCACATCCAATTTTTCTATTTAAACATAATGTCTCTTCTTTTGTAAGTAGATCACAGCTGAGTTACACTTACATTTAAAAGTAAGATACATGTGCTCTACCTGCTACCTTTACTCCAAACGAGGGCCCTTTCACATCTTACAGAGCTGTCTGATACAACAAATATGGGATGGTAGCAGCCACAACTCCAGTACACACCACACACACACACACACACACACACACACACGAATCATCTCCCATCTAATTCTAAGTACCTCTATGGACTTTCTTAAATGCTGAACTATCAGACCCTATTTTATATAGCCATATAAAGTACTGCAGTTATAAAAAAGTGCACCAAATAAGAAAAAGAAGTCTGAGCACATCCAGTGCCAACACGTATTCTATTTTCTTTTTAAAGTAGAGAGCTTGAGCAATCATAATGAGTGCCCCAAGAGCACTGTGGATGGTGGAGGTCACTGTGGAGAACAACAGCAGCTCATATTCCCACTCAGTATCATCAAAACATAATTTGGACATGAATTTTGTACCGGAAGCAAACTGAGAAAAAAGTAGTAACATCTCTATTTCTAGGCAAACATGGCCATTATTTGTCAATTTCATAAAACCAAAAGGCAGTCCCCTTGTTGGTATGATAATAATAATGAAGTTTGGTGTAGAACATTGTTCTTGGTGATAAACCTCTAAGGTGTAGCTGTGGCTGCATCCTGAAATTTGACTTCACTGTCACCGAAAACCTTTTCACCCTGGTGGCGGCCAATCCACCATTGGTGACTTTCTCCTCAAGCTCATTCATCACAGAGAGCCTCAAGACACCAGACCACAACAACATAGGACAAAAGTAGTCATGTTTCACGCGAGATGTATAGTGAAATAAATTCTTGTCCTATAAGCTGTACTTGTAGGTAAATGTTGATAGAGCACTTTTAGAAAAATGCAATGCTTTCTTGACTTCGTTTCTTGCCCTTTTCTATTTCTGTCCCCCCAAAATAAGAAGTTTGGAACAGCACTTACTATATATAGCTTTTGAAACAAGTTAAGAACAAAAAGTTGCTACAGTGCTGATAGGAGTGACATTTGAACTAGTTATTTCAAGGGATCAAATAATTCCAGTTGCCTGTCAGTAGCAATCCAATTCAAAGGACTGAGGATCAATAAAGAATTGTCCACAGTGACGTTCGGTCTAAAATTGCTATGGTAACATTTAAAATAAACATAGACTCTTCCTTTCACCTGGTACTGTAGTCACTGAAAACATTAGCTTTAAACTTTTCTTCGGAATGAGATGATTTTACACTGTGGCATGTTTGTTATAAGCTTTTAAATTGCAGCATTATTGCTTGGAAAGTGCTTCTAATGTGAAGTTGCATTCAACAGACATGTTTTACATCTCTGCATGTGGATGAGGCTGCAGGGAGGAGTGCAATCATATGTGCTCAGAGGGGACTTTAGCAGACTGAATACAGGAACTCTATGATTTCCCCCCAAGAGTTTTGCCTTATCTAACTGAACTGTCTTTTGCAGATCAAACCTATTTCATAATCCACAATAATTTACTCTGACTAATCAACATGCTGTACTTGATGTAATTTATAAAAATTATTTTAGGAAAACATTTAAAATTCCAAGAGGCATCATTTCTATTTAGGGATTTTGGAGGATTTTCTTTTTTCAAATGTGACTATCATGTGACACTTCGTAGCAAACTTGATTCTCAAGTTTGAAAAATTTTAGAGACCTGTTATACTTCCTAGAGGGACTCTAGCTCACAGGAGAAACTTGACAAATTGTCAATGATCTCTTTTTAAAAGATCACACTGCCTTAAAATCCTATAGTCATTTTCTTGACTATGGAGCACTAAGAAAAAGGATAAATTCATAGCTTGCCAGTTTAGCAATCCATTCATTTCTGCTTGTCTACTATAACAGAAATGAACAAAACTAGCAACACATTAAGTAGTCTAGTTCTGAGACTCTCTTATTGTTCAAGTCATAAGATAAGTCAAATTAAAATATATAAGCACAGTACTTATATTTAATTGCTAAGGATGAAAATTAAATGTGTAGTCTATTACCATAAAAAACTGCCTTACTATTAGATTTTTTAAATTACCTTAATAAATTTTGCTTACAGCATAACTGGATAAATTAATGTAACTACTTTGGAAATGTTTATATTATTCTAAAGTGCAATATGTAAATAGTAGCACACCTGGATATTCAATAGAGATCTCCAGCCTAATTTCTGAATTTACTAAGCTCATGAATTCTTTTCTAAGTGAAAGCCGGTGTTCCTCCAAATACATTAGCCCTTATCTAGGTTTACATTATGTAAAGATGAATCTCAGGGTTAATTTACAGGTAGTGAAGAGATAAGAATATTTCATACTGTTGTAAAAGGCAAACTCGGATAAATTATTCAACTCTCTTATCTGAGGAATAAGACACAAATAAAACAGGGGGAAAATAAGAAGTGGGAGAAAGGAAAACGTACTGACGATGAGAAAAGTCTGCCCCAGATCCACATTTTAAAACTCTAGAAACAGCTGCTATGCACGATCAAAATCTGCCAGCCAGTGCACTGACTGGGATTCAGTTTTCAAATCTAAACATCGCAAGAACCAATCAACCCTCCGCAACAATTAAGGTAAGTATGGTAACTTATTTTGGATAAATGAATAAACTCTTGAATAAACAAAAATCCACATAACCTTCAACTTGGCAAAACCGACAGATAAAAGTAAATGCAAGAGCCTCTGCAATTTTTTATGAAAAAGCTATTTGAATATATGGTTTATGTTGCAATAATAAGTAATCTATTGCAGTAAGTTTCATTTAGCGACTAGAACAAAAAAATGACCTTACATTTTTTAAAAAAAAACAAAACTTTCACTAATACTTACCATTCATTAACATATAAATGCAATCCACCCTTTCAAAGGATAATTAAGAGCTATTTAACTTAAATGATTTTGAATCATTTAAGATTGTAAAAGCCTTTTGAAGAACTAGAGTTATCAGCAAGACAAAGAAACTTGTTTACATGCTAACAGCAACTTGATCAAGTGCACAGAAGACCATAGCTAAAACTAGCTCATCTGTCTACCACAGTGCTGCTACAGCAGCCCTGGGTTCCACTTGGAGACCCTCCCTTCACTTTTAACCAGAATCAAATTCCCCTCAGAAAGCATATGCACATATATACATATACACATAAATATATATAGTATATAATATAGCAAATATTTAACAAAACATGCTAGATATTTAAATATCGGCAAATTTCTCATGTCACACAAACATACACACACCACAATTGTAAAATAACATCTCACAAATATTGCAATTCCAAGAGAAAAAGCTGAAATTGTAAATATTAACAAAAAAACCTTCCACCTTAAGCATATCTGAACATATGTCAAGCTTTACCGAAGCTACATCTTATTGTTTCTATAAACAAAGTTGCACAAAATAAAGGATATAATAGGTTGTAGCATAAAGTTTTTTAAGAAATCCAAAATGCCATTAAATGTCTCCACATTAAATTCTAATAAAAGTGATAAGATGTCAAAAGTCAAACTTTAACAATCATTACATGCATCATAACACACAAAATAATTTTAAAATCTTCACTCCCACTAAAAGATTTACTTTAAATCCCCCAGATTTCCTAGCTGTGAGATACACACCTAATGTTCTGTGTTGTGAGCAAGGAGGAAAGAAGACCCCTGCACTTAAATCTTGAAGCATCCCGTACTGATGAGCCCAGAGAAACTAATTTCTGCCATCAGAAAGTCCCCCACCAGAACACCAAATAATCAGATGCGCTGCTCAAAAGGAAACAGCAAGCCAGCCGGTTCTGGCTCGAGGTCTCCCGAGGTACAATAATATAAACCTGATCAATTGCAATTAAAATCCGAACAGAGACTTAGAACCTGAAGTCTTGGTGCATTAGCTCTTGCCAAAAGCAGATGTGATTGTGAGCTGGAAGCAATTTCTCCTGGTAATTTGTGATGACACTGGGTAGTGCAGCCCCAGAGTCCCCAAAGACAAGCTCATCAGAGGCTCTAATGTATGCATGACACATGAGGTGGCTCTTTTAGAGCTCAATTAATTGGGTTGAACATTAAGACAGCAAGTTCAGGACTCCCTCCACCCCCTTCTAGAGTTGCTTTTCCCCTTCAAAGCCATTTTTTTTTTTCTTTTTGCCTTACCTTCAGCAAGCCATGTTTCTTGTAACTGGCTCAGATCTTGAAAGAGTTCTGAAAAGCAAGTCAAAGACACAAACATCAGACTCAACCGTCTGCGGTCTTCATTAACTGAAAATGTTTGTCATGATGCTGGCATTCAGCTAGATTGTAACTTAGAGAGCATCAAGTAAATACAGTATGCGCCTCCGAAGTATCTGAATAATCCTGCTTCCTTATGACATCAGTTAGAAGACACTTTATGAGATTTCTTTAGACAAATAAGTACCAGCGATCTTCCTTTTCTGTTTTAGCACATAATTCAGAGGTAAGTTCGTAGAGAATGGAAAACATGCCTGCATTGAAATTCACCGTGGTGCTGAACTAAAGATCAATCATACAGAAACCTTTCTTCAGTACACTTAACTCCTGCTAAAACATGACCAGGGCAAAGAATAGAAAGACAAAACATTTACATCTCCTAAGTTTAGACACAAAATACCAACAGAACTCGAGTTAACTTCCAAGTTGTAATTTTCAGTCAAATACCTCAACACTAACAGGGGCGACTTCACAATCAGGCACTTAAAGAAAAACTTCTACATTAGCACACTTATAAAAGTCAAAGACAGATAGTACCCTGGTTATGGTTTATTAGCAATTTCAAACTGTATTCTGGCATGGGGTGTGGGGAAGAGAATGAAAATGTGATGAAGCTGTAGAATTCAGTACATTAAATTTAAATTCAAACTGAACTTTGGTAACTGAGCCTAAGTTTCTTCAGTCCATTATGAATGCCCCGCAGGTTGAAATAATTCCTAATTTATTGACTTTTTACCAACAGTTTATAGAAGAATCTGCAGCCTCATTTACCAAATAATATATAACTACTCATTAAGCCTGAAGTTTGATCTCGTGAACACTTCAAGGCCTATTAACAAGATGTTATGACTTCACAATACAGTCATCAAACTCACTCATAAAATTTCAACAGTAGTATATGGCTTCATTTATGTTGTTTAACTTGTAATAAAGTTGAAAGAAAAACGTAAGCAGTGTGAATAACTACTGGCTTTGTTCAAGGGTGTTAGATAGTTTTAAATTGTTAGCTCGGGGTAGGGAATTTGTTACATGCCATATGGACAAGAATAAACATGAAATAGTGTTTAAAAGAAGAAGGTCACTGTTAGGTGTTAATTTCCTTCTTTCATTAGTAAGTGACAAGACCGTAAAATAGTCTCTAAGGCCAATTCTGTTGGAATGGGTGCATGTAAAGTCCATGTTAAGTTCAGGAGTCCCAATGTTTGTTATTTTTTAGATGAGCTTGAGATGGACCCCTTCTTTGGAGGTCGGAGGGTGTCAGGAAGAGGGGTTCAGCTCAGAATCAAACCTCACCTTCTGAATCATGAGCCAGATCTCTATTAATGACTTTTCTTTTCCTGACATTTGTTGGTTTCTCGTTACAATTTCTCCCACGCTGACTCTACAAAAGGGAAAGATAAAATCCTTTAAAAGAATGGAAACCTCAGATGTCACACATTAAAAAAAACATGCATACATAACAAAAGCCTACTGGATCCTCTCTGAGTTGGAAAAAAAATAAAAGTTCACAGGAGAACTCCAATATGTATTGTCTGACTTTTGACAGAGAAAGCTCCCATTGAGAGTTCAACAGCAAGGGAGACTCGCTTGCTTCCCAGATCCTTCCACTCCTGTTTATTCAGAGCCCACGTAATCTCAGCAGCGAAACATTAAGCTAAAACACTTAATTTTTTTGTTTTTTACTTAATCAACTAGAATAAAACACTGATTCCACTCTATCTCAGACAACACCCCCACCCGCAGTAAGAGAAGCCAAAGAAGTGGAACTGGAAAAAGCGAGAAAATGAAGGAGGAAAACCAGCACCCCCCCCCCCCAAGACACCCCATGTAAATGAAAAGTGTCAGCGTTTGTCTCAACTTCGTTCTTTTCAGTGTGGCAGACAAACCCAGCCACAAACTTTGAGTGCAGCTGCAGCTGCCCTCGGTCTCCTGTTCCACTCATGGTGGACACTTTAACCAGAAGGGGTCTTAAAACAAAACTATGCCTTCTCCAAATCACTCAGAAGTAAGCTCATTTCGTAGATGGGTCTTCAAGAAGCAGAGTCGCCCTACAGTGGCAACAAAGCAGAAAAAGTGTCTCCAGTCCCAACCCCCTGCCCCCTCCCTCTGCATCTCTCCCTCTCCCCACCCCTGTCCGAGCCAACTTTATAAACAGCAACTTTCGAACTGATCACTCACGTTGGTGACCACGTAAGGCACTTGCTGGTCATAAAATCCATCCATTCTGCTGCTCTTCGCAAATATTAGCTCAGTGGTTTATATTTTGAGCATTTAGCTGGAGATTTCCTCGGGGTCTGGACTTCTATCAACCTAGAGGGGAACAAGATGGCTTTTAGGCTTTAAAAAAAAATCATGAATGAAGCTCTTGCATTTGCATAGCTAATTACCCTAGACAGTCCCATTCACAAAAAATAACCCTCCCCTACGCCGCCTTCTTCACCTGGATCCAAGAGAGCTAAGAGAGTTCACAATTTACATATTTTCGGTCGTATCAAAAATCCTAACAAGAGGCAGTGTATTTATTACACTCTGGACGTTCCCCGTTCGCTCAGTGTACCAGGCAGCTCTGATTCGCAAACGTGTGCAAAACTAGCAATGGCGATCAACGAGACTTGCTTTTCACCTAACGGGACTAAAGAGAAGGAGACACCTCTTTCATAAGGATAGTTTTTGCAACCCACAACCATGCAATTATCTGGAGAGACATAAAAAGTTGTTGGAAAGACCCACCTGAAGGCCACGCTAGGCGAACGGCTGCAAAAAATTCCCTCCAGATTTAATAAAAACATTAATTATTGCCCAGCACTTCCCCTTGGAAGCCGAAAGCGCCTCTGACAGAGCTCAATTCGGTGGTTTTTCCTCTACTTCTCCTCCAGGGGCCTCCAATCCAAACTGATGGATCGCTGCCTCCCATTGGCTCCACGTCTCTTTCACAAGATCCGATTTCGGGCTGTCAATCAGGCGGCTTTCGGCCCCTTCCCTTGGGTCTCTTACGCCCCTCTTGCCTACACGACTGCTCTACGGGGAGGCTCAGAGTCCGCACCCAGGAAAGGCACCAAGGAAAGCTTCCTAACTCACTGTTTTGGTCAAGACCCGGGGGATACTGAAACCAAGAGCACTGAGTCTACCAGTTGTCATTCCTAGCCTGTTTGATCCATTATTAGGCAGATGTCCTTAAAGCCCGGTTCTGAGGTTCAGGTACAGAGCTACAAAGCGGACGTCCCCAGTCCCTCTTTATGTCTGACCCCGAGTCCACCGCACGCTTCAGGCTCACTTCCCACCAGCTTTTGGCCCAAGCAATTTTCTCATTTTTTTCGACACTAACCAACACTATAGGGCTTATTGGACCTTTAAAAAAATTACATCCTCAACTCAAACGATCTCCTTTTGTCCGTGGGATTTAAAAATACTGTTAGGAAAGCAAATGGGAGAAGCTGCTTCTTAGGAGAGGTGGTACCGGGAGGGAGGACCCGAAACGAGTGCGGAGCGGAGAAGGCGAGGAAAAGTATAAAAATCAGATTCACCCCCAGCGAGTGCTGAAGGAACAGAAACCCCCTGCGGGCCACAGAGGGGTGGGGGAGGACTGGGTGGTTCAGATGCCCCCCCACCCCATACACACACGCACACACCCGCCGTTTCCGGAGCTTTTGTTATGTATACAGAGAGGCGGAGAGTGTCACTTACTGTACTTGAGGATTTCACTTCCTCCACCAACGAGGGGAGGGAAGAGCGGGTAAAGCTCGGGTTACAAGGACGATGATGGGACCTTTGGCTGCGAGGACGTCACCGAAGCTGCCTGCCCACGCGGCTTGGTTCGGAAGTCCCTTTCGTGGCCGCTATCCTACCCGGGATGGGAAGCTGGGAGGAGGGGACCAGGAGCTTCAGGGTATGAAAGTCAGTTGAGACGGACTAGGGCTAGTGACTAAAGGACTTTTCCTGCAGCTGCTTCTCCCGTAGTGCTCATTTCTATTTGAAAGTTTCTTCCTTAAATGGTGGAGACATTAACGTGGGAGCAGCGTGCGCGCCTGGCCCCCCAGACCCGCCGAGGAAGAGCAAGGTCTATGACAAAAACACTTTGCGTTTCACCCCGAGGGAAGTGTGGTCTTGGAGGGCACACACAATGCTCGCCCCGAGACTTGTCCGAGCCCCGCGCGCGTCCCCCTTCGCGCAGAGAACTGCAAGAGAGCCTGGGCGAGGGCTGCGTTCGCGGCGCCGCAAAGCTGGAGTCGGGGAGCTCTGCAGTGCTTTGTGAGGGTGCAACCAGGACAGAGGACAATAGCGCGGGTGCCCAGCCGACCTGCAAACCCCGGGACAAGACAGCAACAGTTTCCAAAGCTCTTCTTAGAGGCCAGAACCGGACAGGTATCCAGGGCAACCGAGAGAGGGCGGAGCTTCTCCAAAGGCCCCGCGAGCCTATCCCTGCAGCCAATGAAGAACCGTAGATTTCCAGTCCATTGTTGTTTATTGCTGACCCCGCAGCGCTCCGCCAGAGGATTGGCTGTTTATGAGCAGGGGGCGTTGCCCGTGCCTTCCCCTCCCGAACCACCTTTCAGCTCCATTCACAAAATCCCAACCTCTCTGGGTCACGTGGTTGGGGGCGTGGAGGGAGAAGGAAAAAAAAAAAAAGACACAACAAAGACCCAAGTTCCTAAAACCACTAAAGTTTATATTCGTCGCTACCTCCCCAATGCACCTTAGAAAGTAGATGAGGGAAAGTACCTTTTATCTGAGCAGGGGTAGAGAGTGAGGAACGAAGTCCTGGTTAAACTCACACAAGCTCACAGAGGATAATTCCAGGGTGCCCTGCCTCGGAGAAAATCCTGCCAAAGAACAGAGACCTGAGAGAGGGGAGAGAGCTTAGAAAGGACTAGAAACTCTTGCTTGCTCTTCAGCAAGAAGCTGTTTAAAAGTGCCAGCCGTGTCTATAGAAAGGAGAAAGTTCTCTTCTGAAGCTCTCTTGTTATCCCAGTGTCGTTTTCTCTCCAGGTTCTTTCAGTGCAAGTTTTCACTGGCTGAGCATGTTGGTTCCAGCTTCCAAAGTCCATCAGCCCTCCAGGGCCCCTTCTTCTCTGATGGTCATCGTGATGCTGGGCTCCGCATTTCCGCTTTCCAGCCCTGAGTCTCACAGTAGTTGAAACTGGTTTTCTTCTCTGACTAAACAACCATTCTTTCTACAGCTCTTCTAAGCAGCCTAAACTGCTGAACTAAGTGTACTTTTTGTGACCAGACAGCTATCTGAACCAGAATACCTTCTCTTTGGCTTCCTCTTTCTCTGGCTTCTTAGTCAATGAGACATTTTCTCTCTTGATTGTTCTGCTCCTAGTTATTCATGAAATACTAGCATCTAGCCTGGAACCTATCTCTGGTTTACCCTTGTCACTGAGAAAAAGAACAATAGATCTCATAACAGAAGGTACCAAAAGGGTTGAGAATTTAATTTTCAGTAGTGTTATGGAGATGGAAAGTGGCTGCAGACGCAGCTGTACACATAGAAAGCGTGCTTTGGAGTCGCACAAGTTTCCACCACTTTGGGAGACTGTCTTTTTAAATCAGTTTAGTGCCTTTCAGTCCTTCGTGAATGGAAAATTTCATTTTGGCCCGATTTCAAACACAGAATGGCAGTGGAGAGGCCAAGAGGCTTTGACATTTATTTACTTGTATTTTGAAATCCCAATTGGGTTTTGAAATAAGAGCTCTTGAAGGAACATAGACCCTCCCCACCCCTGCTTTTTTTCCTGAAAGTTTTTAAAAGCTATTTAAAGCTTTATAGTTCCTTTGCTATTTTGTGAGTGAAACAATATACATTAGTGGCTTTCCTGCAGTTGACTTTATGACATTGAAAATGCATGTTAAGTAATTTAATTTCTAAAAGTTGTCCAGAAAAATACAAACTAGTGTGTTCCCACTTTTTAAAAATGGTTAATACAGCAGGCAGGGTGCCCATGCCTGTACTCCCGGCACTCGGGAGGTAGAAACAAGAGAATTACTGCAGGTTTGAAGCTACTCTTGTCTATGAAGCAAGTTCCAGTTAAGGATACAGAAAGACACATATCCCTACTCTGAAAAAAAAAAAACAGTAAGCAAAATTAAATTATTAGCACAATTAAAATTAAAAATATTCTCAAAAATTGTATGATTAAGTAAACTAACATTTTTTTTGTTTTACTAAATACTATATAAGTGAACTGATGATGAACTAATTCCCCCCCCTCCATAGGACTATATCAAATAATCATGACAAGATGTACCATTATCCAGGATTATGAGCAATGCAAAAATAACTCAAGGGGAAATATGGTGTCTCACCTGCATGCTGAAAGATAGCTGATAACCTCCTGCGGACGTTGTCAACGAGGGAAGCAGGAAGTGGAGGTGATGGTTAAGATTATCAAAGAAAAGGCAGAGTAGGCGACATTCTCATCCCTACAAGTGGCACTGCCACTATCACCTAGAGGAAGTCTGTTCACCGTGAAGTCGAAAAGTGGCTCCTAGTGCCCAGAAATGTGGATGGCAGACTGAAGTAATTCACAGACGCTGCAGTTTGGAAGTTGAATACCTGTGTTCAAGGTCAGTGAGTTCAAGGAAGAGGGTGGGGTATGGCATATTATCTCCTGGTCCGTGACTGGAAATTTCCTCCTAAACTCAAAGTTAGAGCCAATAAATCCTGACTTAAAAAATCCCACAAAAGCCACAAAAGTATTTATTAGAAGAAAAACTCTAGATTCAATCCAATCCCACCAATAAAGCAACAGGGTTAACGAATTACACTGCTTTAGAATTCATTTGCAATTACGTACCTCTTTTCTTTTTTTTTTCTAACTAGGTTATTTTCCTGATTCGCAAATGAAATCACATAAGAAATACCCTAAGAATTCAAGTTCCTAGATGTGTTTGGTCTTGGGCACTGTGGACTGGAGCTAAGCTGCAGGGATCTGAACTCTGGGCTAATTTCTATGAGAGTTCAAGGAAATGCTCTCAGGCTAGCCCCTAGGCTGGAGAGTGTAGGGTAGAGGGTAGGGTAAAACAGCCACTCAGTAACAGTTAGGGACTGAGGGACACTAGAAGAACCTGGAGGCCAGGTTTCTTTGATATGTTAACTAGGCACTTTAGCCTTTTGTCCCAGGTTTGAAAGTTAACAGGTGAGAATTCCTAACTTTGTAGTATTTCAAAGGAAAATTGTGGAATAGTCCTTTCCACTGCAGGAATATATATGAATAGGTATCACTGAGATTGGTTTAAGAAAAGCTGACTGGCCAATAGTTGGACAGAATAAGGTTGGACAGGAGAGTCAAACTGAGAATCCTGGGTAGAAGGGTGGAGTCTCGAGAGTATCAAGCAGACACAGAAGTGACAAGAGGAACATGCCATACTGAGAAGAGGGACCAAGCTCTAGGTAAAACATAGATAAGAAATAAGGGCCAATTTAACATGTAACCTACCTAGTAACAAACCTGAGCTTTTGCCCGAGCATTTATAATTAATATTGAGTCTCCCTGTCAGTTAATTGGAAGTGACCTGTGGGACAAAAATCTTCCACCTACAGAAAATAACTTGTTTGTGGGCAGAAACAACCAACAGACAGTGATATTTAAAGGAGCGAACATTAGAAGGGACATGGGCTCTCAGTTTTGCCCTTCTGTGCTTTTGTAATTTCTGTTTGTCTGGTTTCCTTTGCCTCTTATACCTTCATACTGACTTTGAAGTGTTGCTGTAGAATAATTTTCTTGTACATTGAAAAGATTTATCACTCGAATTATTTTAACAAAACACTGATTGGCCAGTGGCCAGGCAGGAAGTATAGNNNNTATATATGTAGGTGGGGCAACCAAACTAAGGATGATGGGAAGGAGGAGAAGGGAGGAGTTAGGAGTCACCAATTAGACACAGAGGGAGCAGGAGATGAATGTGCCATGCTAATAAAGGTACCGTCATGTGGCACAGCACAAATAGAAAAATGGGTTAATTTAGGTGTAAGAGTTAGCTGGTAATAAGCCTGAGCTATAGGCTGAGAATTTACAAATATTATTAAGCCTCTGAGTCATTTACATGGGAAGTGGCTTCCAGGCATTTGAGACAAGGTGGTAGGGACAGGAATGTCCTATTACAATGTGCCACCCATGATTTTAGCTGTATGTGTGCATGTCTATGTTTTCAAGTATCTTTGTGACTTACTTCTGAAAGAAGTAGCAAAGAAAACAAACCAGGGAACACAATTTATGGTACCACATATTTCATTTTTTTGTTTCTTTTAAAAGAAGACAGTGTGAGTAAAGGCAGATGTTTCTGTGTACGGGACACATTTTCTGAATCATTTTTCCTAGATCTTGTTCTGAACACCATGAGAGCATTGGAGAGATCTGCACTCTCTTCTCTGAGCTCTGTGTTCTGTGTTAATATTTGTCACAGTCTATCCAATGATAAACTCCTCAGAACTCAAGCATTTACCTGGATTGTCCTATTGTGAGTAAAAGCTCAGGAATCAGATATTGACGTAAAAACCTGATAGATCAAGAAAGCAGTGGAGGAGCGACTGGCTGAGCCTCTCCCATAAAGTAGCACATCTTTTGACTTAAATTTTGAAGTCAAGATATTTCTAAATATATAGGTTGGTTGACTCTAGCAGTTTTCATAATCCAGTGTCTCTGCAGACAAAAAATTCAAAGAAAACACAATAGCATGCAGAATCCAGATTCTCTGTGTATTTCCCATCTTTACATGGCTTGTTGTGGGACAATGATCTGTACCCTGTCACTTATATTTTAAATAAACACTAATTGGCCAGTATCCAGAGGAAGTATAGGTGGGACAACCATGCAGGAAGTAGAGGCTGGGCGATGAGAACAGGTGAATTCTGGAAAGAGGGAAGCTCGGTCTGCAGTTGTGACCCAGCCTTTCCTTTTTTTGGCACAGAAACATTCATTCTCTGGTTTTTCTAGATATGTGATACTGATATGTGTAACAACAGGTGTCTGGAGTAGATGATTCACAATCTCAGCTGCACTAGGACCTCTTTTGATTTCTTATGTATTAAATAAATGCTTGGGATAGATGTTCTTGAATCCCCATTAAAGTAGTTCCTTGATTTTTTTTAATCTTTGCAGCACTTGGGGGTACATTTTTTAAATTTTAAGTTATTTTATAAAATAAAACAAACTATCTTTTTTCATTTTACATACCAACCCCAGTTCCCACTCCCTTCCCTCTTTCCATTCCCTCTACCTCCTTACCCCCATCCATTTTTCAGAGAAGGTAAGGCACATTGCTTTGGGGAAGGTCCAAGGACCTCCTTACTATATCTAGGCTGAGCAAGGTATCCATCCAAAGAGAATGTATTCCAAAGAGCCAATAGAAGCAGTAGAGATAAATCCTGGTACCACTGCCAGTGGCCCCACAGTCTGCCCCAGCCATACAACTATCACCCACATTCAGAGAATCAGCAATAGAGGAGAGAGAAGCCTGAACTGGCCTTGTCCTGTAGTCAGATTGATGAATATCTTAAATGTCACAATAAAACCTTCATCTGCAGGCAGAGACTTACAGCAGAGCACTGACTGGACTGAGCTTCCAAAGTCCAGTTGAAGAGTGGGAAGAGTAAGATTATGAGCAAAGAGGTCAAGACCATGATCAGGACACCCATTGAAACAGTTTACCTGTGCTAATGGGAGTTCACCAACTACAGTCAGTCAGGGAAGGAACCAGCATAGGATCAAATCAGTTCCAAGATTTTTATATTCCTTATAAATGGCTTTGCTGAGCATGCCAGTATGGAGAAAATGACACACACACACACACACACACCACCAGAGTAATGGAAAGATAGCATTCACAAATCATTAGCAGAAAGGAAGTTTAGCTCCAGTGCAGGTCAGATTACTTCTCTCCAAGAATCAGCTTGCAGATTTGCAAATTGCACCTAAAGATTATTTTCCAAAATTTATTAAGGATGAAATAAACCAATAAACTGAATTGCCTAGTAGAAGAGGAGTTTGACACAAATTACCATTCATGTACATTTAGAAAGTTTTCTAACAGTCAATGGTGATCTCCCCTCTTGGCAAGTCTTCCTTGAGATCAGCCTATACAATCTTATGGAGGTTTACAGCCCTATCCTAAACACAAGAAGCAGCCTGCCTTCCTGTCACTCTGAAAACAAATATCTGGCCCTCATTCATTCAGGGGCCAATTCTTGATCCCTAACAGAGATGAAAGATTGTCTACTGTTCAGAGGATTGACACTTCAGAGTCCTCTCCATCTCTCTGGTGGCTAGCTGACTTGGTGCCTGTCACAACACATCAATTATCTTGCAGTTAAGATCTCCTTCCTAAGTTCAAAAGTCTGACATAACAGAAGGCTTGGCTGCAAGAAAGTACAACAAAATAGTGGTCCAAACTGAAGGAGTTTCTAAAAGGGGGCAAAGAGTGGCCTTGTGTCCATCATTTTCTTAAATCCTAGAAAGTCTCCCCTGAATAAGGGTCACCAGTGATATTTAAGTCAGTGTCTTGATATTTGAAGAACAATGTGTCTTTGAACTTTGTAATAGTGATTTTACTTCTTTGTGATCTTCCCGAATTCCCTTTTATATTTAAAATGTTCCTTTTGTCCCGAGTTTCTTCTCAAGTTTAAAAATAGCCGTTTGACTACAGGCATTTCATGTGAGCACATCAAAGGGTGCCGCAAATCTTCCTTGTATCTGTGTGACACACTCTAAATAAAGCTCAGGGTTTTGTTCTTGGTTCACTTTTAGATCGCAGACTGCAATTACGCCTTGTAGGCAGGGTGTCAAATAATATCAGTGCTCCTCGGTTTATCATATATGCATCTGGGAGCGACATAGTCTACTTAGAAAAATGCTCTTTATGAATGAAGCCTTATCTTCCTGAGGGAAGATTTACATGTGATACTTCCAGCACCATTTGGGATCATAAAGGAAAGCAGTGTTATCAGAATGGTCTTCCAGAAGGAATCCCATTGTTTCTGGAATTTACATTCCAAGTTATAACATGGATATTATGCTTTGAGCTTGCACACATTATCAGCCACTCCTAGTGACATCTTACCTCTATCTCCCTCTCCCTTTCCCCTCCCCTCCTTTTCTCTTCCTCCCAGTTCTATTTTCCTCCTTCCTCACTCCTTCTCCCTCGCCCACCTGTTTTTTCCACCCTCTTTTTTATTGATTTTATTTTTATAAAAAATTTTTATGGTGTAGCCCAAGCTGACACTGAGTTACCTATGTAGTAGAGGTTAGTCCTGAACTCCTGATCCTCCTACCTCCACCTCCTGAGCATTCAGATTATAGCCATATACCACCATAACCTGTATGGTTCTTAAAAATAACGTGTTATTAATTAAAATGTAGGAAAAGGTCATGGGATTTATTAAACAGCTATAAATGGTTCTTTCCTAATGCAACGTGGGATATTCATTATACGACTCAATCTCACAAAAGGAAGATGCATCATTCATACACCCAGGTTGATATCAGCATCATCAATGGCATAATTACTCTTATCTTTTAGCAGACAGGTTCATACTCAGCAATATCTCGCCCGTTTTATGTAAGCTTTCTGTTCCTGATCACTGGTTAAAGCTAATCAAGATTATTGATTCTGAAATTATCTGCACTGAAAAGGCAAATGTTAATTATCTACTCTTGAGTCAGGTTAGGGTGAAGTTTAGAAACTCAGGTCAGTCTACACTCATTATTACCACATTACTTTGACTAAAGAATCCAGAAGCACCCTCTCTGACATACATTATTATAGCATATGCCACCAGACAGGACCCTAAAATAAGAACAGAGACATAAACCAGAAACAAAACGCCTTTCAGGGGAGCTTCCAGGATATCTGTCCTGTTTCCCTGTTAAAGAAAAGACAATGGACTTAAAAGATGATAGGCTCGCTTGTGCTAAGGCTCCATGTCTCTTACCAAACGGCAAATTGTTTGTTTCTAAGATGTAATTTCATGAGTTATAAAGATGACCAGAGAACCTCTCCAGCAATGAGGTCTTTGTGTCCCCATTGGAAAGTGACCAGTCTGCTGTCAGTGGCCCCCTTATTTGTTCATCTTATTTCCCTCCTCCTAAAAGTTGCCTATAGGATTCAACTCACCGATGTCTTTTTCCACTTAGAAGACATGGATGTTACTGGGTTTGTGAATAGTAAATAAAAAGCTAATTAAATCATTCATATCTACATTGGTGAAGTTTTGTCCATTAACATTTGTGCCAGTTTGAAACAAAATCCCCCCCATAGGGAGTGGCACTATTAGGAGGTGTGGCTTTGTTGGAGTAGGTATAGCCTTGCTGAAATAAGTGTGTCACTGTGGGGTGGGCTTTGAGGTCTCCTATGCTAAAGCTACTCCTACTGACACAGTTTACTTCCTGTTGCCTTGGAGTCAAGATGTAGAAATCTCAGCTCCTTCTCGAGAACCGTTTCTGCCTGCATGCCATCAGGTTCTACCATGATGATGATGGGCTGAACCGCTAAACCTGTAAGGAACCCCAATTAAAAGTTTTTCTTAAAAAGAGTTAGCATGGTCATGGTGTCTCTTCACTATAATATAAACTCGAATTAAGGCAACCCTCCTGACACAGACATTCTGTCACACGTTAATCTATGTAGGTCACTAGAGACCTTAGCATGTTCAAGGCAAGGTAAATAAAATCTGTTTCTCTTTTCTTCAAACCCTGTTTCTCCTAAACTGAATTAAATCGTTAGACTTTTGGGTTGTCATCATCTGGGGCTAGGAACTTGTCCAGTCAGCTCACTCATGGTAATTGACAAATCTCAATTTTTTATTGACTGTTGGTCATATAATTTCAGCTTTTTTTTTGCTTGTTTGCAACTTGATATGCTGATTTTCTGAACACATTTAAGAGGACACAGTACCCTTTCGTTGGAGAGGAAAAGAAGAGGCTTTACTCTAGCACAGATTCAAGGCCAAGGTAATTGGGTGTACACTGTGCAATAATCTCAGCTTTTTGAATGTGGGTTTCTTTGTAAGGCTGCTTGTCGCTTGGCCCCCTGTGTGAGTCCAAAGAGAAAGCTCAGAATGGAGTAAGGATGTCCTTACATTTGGGGCATAGATTTTTCATAATTGACAAGTCATCTTGGTGAATTTTTCCTTTGATAAATATGAAATGTCTTTTCCAGTATCTTGATTAATTTTGGTTGGAAGTCTATTTCTTTCGCTATTAGAATGACTACAACACCTTGCTTCTTTGGTCCACTTTCTTGGAAAATATTTTTCTAACCCTTTATTCTAAAGTAGTATTATTTTTGATATTGATATTGATGTGTGTTTCTTGGATGCAGCAGAAGGATTCTGTTTTCAATCCTTTTTGTTAGTCTGTGTATTCTTATTGAATTGAGACCATTTATACTGAAGATATCAATGACCAGTGATTGTCAATTCCTATTATTTTCTTGTTGGTGGTGGTAGTGTGTGTGTGTATGTGTGTGTGTTTCCCTTCTTTTGATTTTGCTGGTGTCAGATTATTTGCTGTATTTTCGTGGGTTTAATTAGCCTCCTTGGAATGGAGTTTTCCTTTTAGTGCCTTCTATAGGACTGGGTTTGCTGATATTGTTTAAATTTGATTTTGACATAGTGTTGTAGGATATTGGTTTAAAATGTGTTACTTTCACTTATTTGTTAAATGAGGCATATTTATGTTGCATTTGTTTAACTGTGTGAAACTGTGTTACTTTACATGCCTAACACAGCCGTTTGATCTAATAAAGAACTGATTGGCCAATAGCTAGGCAGGAGGGAGGATAGGCGGAGCTGGCACGCAGAGAGAATGAATAGGAGAAGAGTGAGAAGTAAGAAAAGGAGGGTAAGATGTTAGGGGTCAGCCATCCAGCCACACAACCAGTCATAGAGTAAGAAGGAAAGAAAAAAATATACAAAACAAAAAAAGGTAAAAAGCCAGAGGCAAAACGTAGTTAAAGATAAATGGCACAATTTAAGTTAGAAAAGCTGGCTAGAAACAAGCCAAGCTAAGGCTGGGTAATCACAAGCAAGAATTTGTCTATTTGGGAGCTGGGTGCCAGGCCCCAAAGAGAAAACAAACAAATAAACAACAACAACAACAAAACAAAACAAAAACCAAACCAAACAAGATCAAAATAGCAACAGCTATGTCATGGATTATTTTATTTTCTCCATCTGTGGTGGTTGAAAGTTTTGCTGGATATAGTGGTTTGAGCTGACATCTGTGGTCTCTTAGAGTCCGCAAGGTATCTGCCTAGTCCTGGCTTTCATAGTCTACATTGAGAAGTGAGATGTAATTCTAATAGCTCGTTTTTATGTTACTTGGTCTTTTCCCATGTCAGCTTTTAAAATTTTTTTCTTTGTTTCTTTGTTTATATGTGGCATGGGGACTTTCTTTTCTGGTCCACTCTATACAGTATTCTGTAAGTGTCTTGTAATTTTACGGGTATCTCTCTCTTAAGGTTAGGAAAATTTTCTTCTGTGATTTTGTTGAAATACTTTCTGTGCCTTTGAACTGGCAATCTTCTTCTGTCCTTATTATTCGTAGGATTGGTCTTTTCATAGTTGTCTCAGATTTCTGGATGTTTTCTGTCAGGAATGTTGAAGATTTAACCTTTCCTTTGACAGGTGCTTCAGTTTCTTTATTGTACCCTCTACACCTGAGCTCACTTCCCACTTCCATCTGTTGTTTTCTGTTGGTAATGCTGGCATCTATAGCTCCTGTTAGCAAACCTATAGTTTCCATTTCAGGGTTCCCTCGGTTTGTATTTTCCTTATTGCTTCTACTTCTATTTTCACATCTTGAACAGTTTTATTAATTTCCCTCATCTGCTTATTTGTTTTTTTTTTCCCTGACTTTCTTTTAAGGATTTATTCACTTCCTCCAATTGTTTGTGTTTTCCTGGATTTCTTTAAGAGGTTTATTAATTTCCGCTTTAAGGACCTCTATTATCTTCATAAAATTGGTTTGAAGGTAATTTTCTGTGCTTCAGCAGTTTTGGGAATTCCTACTCTTGCTAAAGCAGGATAGCTAGGGTCTGGATGTTGCCACATTGCCCTGACTGTTGTTATTTTTTTTTTTTTTACACTGGCCTCTAGACCTTGGGGTCATAATAGGCGTAGGTGCTTTTATTTCTGAGGTTATCTTTGTTGAATGGGAGCTTTTTCCTTTAGTTTCTCTTTCTTCTCTGGTCTTCCATCCAGAGTGCCTGTGGTTCTCATGCTTGCTGAGTCCTCAAGTCCAGTAGGGTGTCTCTACTGAAGTTTGACTGTTTACATTACGTCTGAGGTTGTTGGTGCTGGCATTACCTCTAAGTTTCTGGGGTTCTGACAATTGGTGTATCTTCTGAGTTTCTGGGTACTGTCATGGCTTCTAGCAGAGCAGGGGGCTTTTGGTGTTCTGGATACCAGCATGGCCTCTGGAGTTCATGAAATCAGCGTGATCTCTGGGCCTCCAGATTGCAATGCGTCCGCCAGTATAGCAAAGGGTTTCTGTTAGAGTTTTGGCCTGGGTTATGGAGAAGACAGGAATAGGGAGTGCTGTTGGGGAAAGCTGAGAGGGCTCTGGGAGAGCACTGGATTTCCGTGGGTGGGCTCTTACCCGGAGCTAAGTTATCGATGTGACCTCTGGTTGAGCAGTGGTGCTTCTGCTGGAGTTGTCAGCCAGGATATATGGAGACTAGGGATGTGGAGTTTTGTTGGAAAGTTGGATGGGCTCTTTGGAGTGACTGTTGGTGGGTGAGGTCTTAACTGTGGTTCTGAGTACCAGCATGGCCTCTGATAAAGTAGGGAGTTTCTGTTAGAGTGTGAGCTGGGAACTAACTTATTTTTTCCTTCTTTCCTTCCTTCCTTCCTTCCTTCCTTCCTTCCTTCCTTCCTTCCTTCCTTCCTTCCTTCCTCCCTTATTTTTTTTTCTTTCATTTTCAAGACAGAGTTTCTCTGTATAACAGTCTTGTGTCTTGAAACTCGCTTTTTGTAGACAAGGCTGACCTCGAACTTACTGACATCTGCCTGCCTGTGCTCCTAACTGTTGGGATTGCAGGCATGCACCACCACCACCCAGTGGATGTACTTTATTTTTAAGGCAGTATCTCACTATGTAAGCCCTGGATAACTTGGAACTTTCTGTGCAGCCCAGGGTGACTTCAACTCAGAGGTCCACCTGCCTTTAGCTCCCTGAGTGCTAAGGTTAAAGGAGTTCCTACCACGCTCCACCAATGATGATCTTTCCCAGTTCCCACCAATAAATAAACTTTAAATCATTCTTTAACTTGAGGTTTCAGCCTCAAGATCTTAGCTGCAAATGTTCTATAACAGTTATTAATCATGATAAAAAATGAAACAGTTAATATTAAAACAGATTTAAGTTCTCAATAAATGAAGTATTTTAACATTATTCTGTGTTTTATAAAAGAAATTTGAAAGAAATGTAAGGATTTGGCTATTTCAATATTATTTATAAGGACTTCCAAATACGCATTATAGATTTTAATAAAATAAGCATTGTACTTAAGTAAGAAACATTTTGAAATAAGACTGCATAACGTGGGCTATAAAAGCATTTATATGTAAAATTTTGCTTAGAGCACAGTCAGTTTCTCAGGGAGCCATACTTTCACAAAATTATTAAATGCTGGTAATCTATATAATTGATATAATTTTAACATAGAGATCATCTTAAATGGATAAAACATGCTCCAATATATTCATTCAGACCTGCCATATGATATTTTATTTAAGGTGGAATTTAAGGAATTTGTCTACTTTGGTACCATATACCAGAGTCAGTTAACCAAGGCAAGTGCATTAAACATGTAAGCAATGTTTTAATTATTATCATCACTGGTGATTAGATATATACATTTCATTCTTTTGTTTAGTGCACATAGAAAATAATGCTGAAACACACTAATTTTTTTAAACATCAGTTTGACTCAGTAGACTACTGTAGGAATGAAAGTTTTAGATTTTTCTAACACTAGTGTAGCTTTGAGAAATAAGGAATGACCTGGATAAGCAGGGATATAGACAGCTTTTTAAGAATATAGTTAAGATAGAATTATTTTTTATTTCATAGTATGTCAGTAGAAGACATCTGTGTGACTGATTATGCTCATTTTCCTACAGGTTACATGTAAGCTAATATGGAGTGTGTGTGTGTGTGTGTTTAGAAAAAAATGAGATATGTTTATTTTATATATCAAATATAATTGTCTCAAGCATGATGAGGTTACAGCAGTTCCTGTGTCATATTGATCACTGTTCCCAGGTCATTTTTCTTTGCCGTGCTCCCATGTACCTGGTCATGTGACTTAGGATTTCATTCTGAAAGCAAAAATGATGGATTTGTTCAAATTATCTCTGTAAACTTGTAAAACATAGACAGGAATGGCAACATGAGTTCAATCTATTTTTTGTTTACTTGTTTATTTCAGTATCACATCAACGAATACAAATCAGGTCATAGGTCATTGCTATCTGGTTAGTTTGGTCCCCAGATCAGGATCAAATACATAAATTATTTTTCACTTGGTGTGGCCTATAACGCCAGTACTGAAGAGACTGAGGCAGGAGGATCTCAATTAAAGGACTGTCTGGGCTACAAATGCAGATCACCTAAAAAATATGGGAGCTGGAGATAGTCTTAAATTTCTATCTGTTGAAATCATGTCCACTAAGATCAGCCTCAAATGTCCCCTCCTCTCAAGGTGCTTCCTGATGTGCACATCTGGAGATGATAATCCTGATGTGCCCATCTGGAGATGATAATCCTGATGTGCACATCTGGAGATGATAATCTCAAAGCTCTCATAACTCTCACGTGCTTCTTGGTTGAACATTTGTTGCCTGCAGGAAGAACATGGAAGTGGGGGCAAATCTACTTATTTAAAGAGGATGGGAAGATTTTCTATTTTGGTGGGATATTCTGCATCAGAGACTGTTTTTATTTTTATTTTTAAATTCAGGAATGACTG